GACATATAGAAAATGAAATCTTGCCATTTGCTACAACACGGATGGACCTAGAGCAGAAGTCCCCAACCACTGAGGCTGTGGACAGGTACTACTCTGTGGCCTGTTAGGAACTGGGTCACACAGCAGGAGGTGAGTGGCCAGGGAGCAAGCAAAGCTTCACTTGAATTACTTCCCGGGCTCCACTTCCTGTTCTCCCACCCTCACCTCACCTTGCCCTCATCCTTGGAAAAACCATCTTCCTCGAAACCAGTCCCTGGTGCCAAAAAGGTTGGGGACTGCTGACCTAGAGGGTATTATATTAACAAAAGTAAGTAGGACAGAGAAAGAATACCATATGATTTCACTTATATATGGACTCCAAAACAAAACAAACGAGCAAACAAAAGAAAAACACAAACTTGTAGATACAGAGAACAAAAATGGTTGCCAGAGGGGACTGGGTGGAAAAGGGAAGGGATTATGAAGTACAAACTTCGCATTATAAAATAAGGTAGGCTAATGTTATTGACTTTACAGGGAACAGTCAATAATATCATAACTATGTAAGGTGACAGTCATTAGACTTATTGTGGCAATAGCTTCGTAAAATATAGAAATGTTGATTTACTATGTTGTATATCTGAAATTAACATAATATTGTATGTCCACTATAATTAGAAATAAAATTAAAAATAAATTAAAAAAACTAAAATCCAAATTCCAAAGATCTTGAGATTTCTAAGAGAAAAATCTATTAGAGGCTATCACATTCATATATCAAATTAATAAATTAATTTTTTGTTCTGTTTTTTTGTTGTTTTATTTTGCTTTTGTCTTTTTTTCCCCTCATGGTATCATTACAAACCCTCCATCCCCAAATTTAAGAAGGAAAACTATTTAGGAACATTCCAAATAAGCTATTTGGCAGTTATGAGCCAAACGAGAAAAGATCATCCTTTCCCTCTTCATTTCAGATACCCAGCTGTACTTGGTATTTTTGGATTTCAAACTCCAGAAATTACTCTCTTAACTCTGTGTTTATTTGGTCATTTTACTATAATAAGAAGCTAGGACACTAATGTACAGTGACTTCTAGTATGTACTAATATGAATAATTAAGAAGACAATCTGCCATCTTCCTACCAGAATCATAAGAATTTAACGATATCCTACCTACACAGATCCACAATTAACACAGTCTTTGCAACTTTATGTCCTATGCAATTCCAATTAGTGCTGTTTCAAGTATGCAATACAGACCTACACATTGAAAAACTACTATTTTCCCCAAATAAAACTCATCTTTATATTAATATTTCTAATATTGCTGATGCCTTAACCTCTTGCCTTCTTAATCCTAACTTCCTCCAGCCCAAACAATCTAAGGAACACTTGTACGGATTGGTGAATAGGAACATGGGCTTGAGAGATACTCCAAATCTTGGCTTGCTTATCTATAGCGTATCTTTAACCTGTAATTTCCTCATCTAGAAAATAAGAGCAAACTCTGTCTTAGAAGATTATTTTGAATACTAAATGACTTAATATACATTCGATAGTAAGCCCTCAGCATTGCACCTGCCAGACACAGAAACTCCAAATGTGATACAACTATAAAAATAATGCGGAAGGAGAAAAGAGGATAGCCAGAAGCTATTTTCTGTATTTCTTACAAATTTTTGGTCCTAACTAAAGCTATTCCTAGTCTAGCTTTCACCTTGAAGATATTTATAATTTTTTGAGAACATAAATTCAACAAAATTCAAAATAGTTACCTACTGGACACATAAAGCCCAATTTGGAGTGTTCAGTTACTCCTCAATAGCGCTATCAAGAGGAAATTGGTAAAGGAGTAAAAAAAATATTTTCAATGTTATCTTTGAAAGTGCATGTCACTGAGAATCAGGAGGCTAGAGTTCTAGCTCTGCTTCTTCCTTTAACCAGGCCCAGTCACTTTCTTCCTCTAATATACTATTAATACCCCAATGAAGAGTTTAGACTAGAAGATCTCTAAGAACCCTCAAGAATTAGCATACTACCTTTTTGGAAGGAAAAAAAAAAAAGGTCTGGTATGAATACCAATGTAGTATATAAATAGTACCTCCAATTTTCTGGCCTTCTAAGCTGTAGTAAAACTCCATGAAGAAGATGAGTAATCCAGTCAGGTCTGTCTTCTTCCTCTTGTCCTTTCCTCCCACCCTGTCTTTTCCATCCTACAGTTCACAACCTACCTCAACCTCTAAATACAAAGTGAGTCTCTGTCACTAAGAAATAAAAGTGTTCTCTCTGAAATCTAATAATTCAAATATTTATATATAGTCTCAAATAAATCCAAGCTTACCATTTATATAATTACTTCAAGAAAGGGCAGCAAAAGCAGAATGGGGAAAAGGATCAAGTTTGAGAATTTTAGTGTCAAGACCACATTTTCCTGGTTCAAACAAAACAAAAGAAACTTACAATATACAGAACTACAAAGTAAATTAAAAATGATGAATGACACAAAGATTAAAATGAAACTGTTCAGAAGTAGAGATGAATAGATAATGAAAAAAGTGATCACTCCAGGTCAAGATCATTCATAGGTCAAATTATGCACATCTGTATACTTATAAAGAGAAGAAAATGAAAGAGGACTAAAAGGTAAAAATGAGATAATATATTGTAAAGTCATAAAGGTTCTAGTTGATGTTTATTAAATAAGTTTGAAAAGAAAATAATCAGTTAAGCAATGGGCTACCACAGTGCTTTATATTACATTCTACTTGCCAGTGATTAGTTCAGGAAGGGATACATGTCTCAGTTACCTCAATAAAGTCATTTCAGGATTTCTGACAAAATGTTAGAAAAGAAATTCTTTTTACTGGACTTGAAGTTGGGATTTGCCACATGGAGAAGATGTACCAACCTTTCAAAATCAACATGCCTGAAGCATGGTCTTTCTCCCTGTGACTTTCAAGCTGTGAGTACTATTAAGTTCTTTTTTGTGCCTAAGCCAGTGTATTATAGACTTCCCTGAATAATACCATTAGGCAATCTTAATGCATGCTTGGCTATCTGACTGATCAAATGAGTTTTGTAGCCATCTATATGTATTTCTTGGGGAAAAGTCTGTTCATGTCCTCCTTTTTTATTTAATTGGATTTTTGTTTTTAGTGTTAAGTTGTAAGAGTTTGTGTGTGTGTGTGTATAAATAAATTCTCATTATATATATATGATAATGGTTATTATGAATAATCATTATATTATTGAACATGTTATAAAAACAATTACTTAATATTATAATCCTTGATATAAAAATGACAAGATACAAAGTAATAAATGTAATAATAGGCTGATCTATAGATTCATGTAACAGGAAAATTATTCTTGGATCCTAAGTGTCAGGTATTATGTCATAATACTCTAATACAAAACTGTGAGAGAAGACAGTTGCTAAAATACAGCTGGAAAAGATTTTAAGATAAGAGTTCAAAAGTCTTCTAAAGAAATGAGTAATACTGAGTGTTCTATCTGGAGTTGTAGTTCTATGTTGCACTCTAATATGTGCAAAAATAACCTGTGTGCAAAAATAACCTGTGAGTCTATTAAAATGCATATTCCAAGTATCCCTGGAGAGACAACTATTTTTTAATTAAAAAATTCCAATTACAGTTGACCTTTGATATTATATTAGTTTTAGGTAAATAGCATGGTGGTAGGACATTTATATAACTTATAATAATGTAATTCCCTCAATAAGTCTACACTCTACTTGGCACCATACACAGTCACTATAATACTATTCACTATATTCCCTATGCTGTACTTTACTCCTGAATGATTTGTATTTGCAAATCTGTACCTCTTAATCCTCTCAGCTCTTTTACACAGATCACCCAATCCTCCTCTATCTGGCAACTCAGTTTTTTCTCTGCATCTTAAGAGTTTGTGTCTCTTTTGTTTATTTTGATTTTTAGATCCTCCAAAATAGTGAAAATATACAGTATTTATCTTTCTCTGACTTATTTCACTTGACTTAATACCCACTAGGTCCATCCATGTTGTTGTAAATGGCAAGATTTAATTCCTATTCAAGGCCAAGTACTTTTGCATTGTGTATATGTACCACTTCTTCTTCCAATTGCCCAAAGATGACCATTCAGGTTGTTTCCATATCTTGGCTATTGTATATAAAATGTCCTCCTTTGGAGAAATGATTATTAATAGTAGATGTAGAATAGATGACCATGCCCACACACCTCTTCCCTCACCCCAAATAAAGTGACAACCCAGGAAGACACCATGAAAAAGAATATTGTCTCATAGGTGAAAAAACTTTTCTTGGTATGTGAAATATTTTAAAAATAAAAAACAAATGGTAAAAAACACGAGTTTCAGTCATTTGCTTATCTTAGAAACTTTTAAACTGTACCTTGAAAATCATTACAAAAGCCTGCATCAATTTAATGGAACTAGGATTAAGGTAAAAATAAAAGTGAGTGCAGAGTATACTGAACATACTAATGTTATTATTGTTTATGAAGTCTTAGTTTAAGGGGTGTGTATTTTGTGTGTGTGTGTGTGTGTGTGTGTGAATGTCATGTGTGTATTAGGAAATGATATAACATACACTTCTAAATATGGGGTCACAATCCCAGAAGTCTGTAAGCTACTGGGTTAGATGTAACAAGAAAAAGGTCTAATATACAATGCTCCAAAGCCAGATCTTTAAGAATAAGTCTCCTGCTGACCTGTGAGAAACTCTATGGGGTGAAATCATTAAGACCTTACACTAATGAGCTCATCTTTTGAAACAATTTCTGACATCTATAGGACACCTAAAGAAAAATAAGGTCATGAAAATAGTAATGATCAACTTCATATATTTTTTTCCCCCACGGGCTTTGGGTTCGTGTTTATTGGCATTAGGCAACTCCTCGACTTTTCAGCTCCTGCGTGATTAACTTCATATATTTTAATGTAAAAATTTTAACTGGCATATTTTTACCCACAGTCTCAGATGCCAGTGAAAGCCTTACCTGAAAGTGTCTTTTGGTAAGAAACACATTGATGTCTCCACAAAGAAATGGCAGATCTCTCTCGATTCTGTAGTCCTTTTAGTCTTTCTGCTAGTCCGCCTCTGTTTAATGAATTATGATGTATTAGGTTTACTTAAAAGAAAAGCTTCAGAATAGTTGCTACATTTATATTTTATACCCTCCAACCAGAGACAAAAAGATAAACCATTCAAATTTTAACTTATTGGACATCACATTCTCTTCCTAAAGGCCTGATCTTCCTAGGTCAGTAATCCACTTTCTAGAGATTTCTTGGAAGCTCAATTTTCTGATTATTAGAAATATGGACTACTTCAGGTCAGTTTGATTTCTTTCATTCTTCTTAGTTTACTTATCCTGTAAACACATTCAGATTACTTGTTTTCTGGTCTACCTAGCAAAGTGCTAGGTATACAGAAAAATACAATGAGTTATGCCACTGAGGTGAAAAAAGACTTGTAATTTGCTCTGCAGGCAGTGGAAAACAAATGTAGTGGATTCAGAGGTGCAGTCAATAATAAATCCTAATAGGTAAAACACTTCTATAGGAGAATTTAGGTACAGATTCACTATACTAACAAAAAAGATAACTGAGTATTAATCACAAATACATAGCAAGAATAAACAGAACAATTTTCATGTATTGCAAAAAGATGATTGATAACTGTGGACATTGAGGCCCTACATAAAAGTCTTTGTTAATAAATACATCTGTATTAAATGGATTTATTTTTGATTCAGAGAAGTTAGCAGTTTCAGAAATAGCTATAATCTCAAGACAAATCAAGACCAGTTGTCAATTACCATTATGACTACATGCTACATAATTTATTAATGTGTTATAATATATGATTAGGAAGCAGTTCACTGAACATCTTACTAAATGATCACATTCTATTTTAATAATGTCTCTTTGAGGTAAAAAGAACAGGTATCAATACCTATCTCATAGATAGCACATCAAAGTTTACAGAGACATTAAAAAATTCACCAGTATCACATAACTAGCCACATGAGGAAATAGTTATAGAAACCAGAAAGGACTTACCACAGTGCCTAGCATTTAAAAAAATGTTAGTATTAGTGCTAATGATTTTTTAAAAATGATTTTTAATTGCACCATATATTCTTTCCACAATAATCTAAAGATCTTATTTTAATACGCATTACACATATTATCACTACTACCTACAATGTTATCCTATTGGCACTTGTTTTCCTCTAAGCACTGTTTCTGAGTGTGTGTATGTGTGTACAATACATAATGGTAAATTTTGAAAAATTCTCATAATCACAAACATGTCAAAGAACTTCTAGTTTACATATGCCTACCTCTACTTAATACATATATAAATTCTTCTTCATACCACTCTGTTTATGTTAAGTAACTCATGTGTACTCCCCTCTAAACAACACTATGAAAGTAGGTGCTACTGTCATCCTTATTTTACAAATGATAAACTGAGTCACTGAGCACTATGAAAGTAGGCACTACTGTCACCCTTATTTTACAGATGATAAACTGAGTCACTGAGGCATTAAACATCTGTACAAGGTGAGACATCTGATGTGTAACAGAGCTGGATGCACACATAAGCAGTTTGGCTCTAGAGTTCACAAGCTTAGCCTCAATGATATACCTAATGTCTCAAAGAGCTCTACTTAAAAAATATATATAATAAACACAAGAAAAAAACAAAACACAGTTATTCTTTCCACAATGATCTAATTATTTTTCAAATGTGGTTTTCTTTAATCTACAACTTTAGAGAGGAGAAAAATGGCAAAATGCAATCTGAAAAGATATGGTTAAAGTCAAGTCCTGTATCACACAAATAAACTGTAGGAACTATGGGGTAAAAAAGGGTAAAAATAGAGGAAGAACACTGCTTACATGTGGAAGTATCTGGAGCCCTAAAACAGAATCAGTATTTTACACTTGCATTTTGTCATTAAGAACTATACTGGGACCACACACAATACCTCTTGCTCTAATCTGACCAGAGAATTCCTGCAGGTAATTCCAAAGAGAGAGATGCACCAGAACTTAGGAATGTAAATACCATGATCTCTAATAAACAATAATCATTCTAGTAAATATCTATTTACATTTAAAAAATCAGAGGACATACTAGATGGCAGCAGATTAGGTAGATGTTACACTCATCTCCTCCTGGGACCAAACTGGAATTACAATTAAAATATAGAACAATCAACCTAAATAACCACCTGAAGTCCTGGTGAATAGTATGACCAATGATTTACATAAGAAGCCATTCCAAGACTGGTAGGAAAGGGTGAAAAGGGCTGGCCCCACTCCAACAGGGAGTGGCTGAGAGATATTTCAGCTTCAACAATTCCTCCTGAGGAGCATGGGGTCTCAACCCAACAAAAGGCTCCCCAGTCCATAGTACCAGAGCTAGGAAGAGCCACCCACATAACATCTGGCTATAAAAACCAGCAAAAATTCTGTCTGCCAGAAAGAGACAGGAGCCTTCTAGATAGAAAGGCACTATCCTAAATGACCAATGCCAAAATCTCATTTGCAACTACTCAACCCAGGTTCTGACAATGGGAGGGTGGAGTAGACTAGAGTTGTGTGAGAAGAGACTAGGGTTAGAGGCTCTAGAAAGAGAGCTGAGGAGTCAGCTGCTGGGACACCTTTGCTGAATCATGATCCTGCACAACAGATGCCATTTTTCTCGAGTGGAGCACTCCCCTTGGGAGAAAGCAGTAACTCCACTTATGGAATTCATAACCTGTGGAACTCAGGGCCTGCTGAAGAGTCAGCTTCCTGGGTCAAGAATTAAAGGTCTGGGCAATGTGAGAAGGTACAGTGTCAATGATGACATCATGTGGCTTTGCAGTAGGGGTCATTCCAGCCACTTACCCATCAACCTGACTAGAGTCTCCCTCTCAAAAAAGATCCTCTGGGCCCACCCTCTGGGCTTCAGTTGGCTCTACTTTCTCAACTCCTAATGGTGTTGCCCAGATGAGGTCTGGGCAGAAGCCAGGAGAGACTGAGTTGAATGGCTCTGGGGCAGGGAAGCCAATCTTCCTACCTTTCCCCAAGCCTGACTGGCACCTCCCCTTCACAGATATTTACTAGACTCACCCTCTTGACTCCCAGAGTCACTGACCAGTTGGGCTCAAGATCCTCGCAGAATCTTACACAGGCTGAGTTGTATGCCTCTAGAACAATGACCATTTTCCCCTTGCATTCTGACTGGTACATATGCCTCCTTTCACAGAGCCAAATCTTGTCTTGTTTAGACCTGATTCTGCTGGCCTCACCTTAACAACTCCCTGTGACCTTGCTCTAGCCAAAAAATCTACAGGCACATAGAAGGTAGTAGCTAGATTGGTATACCTGGGAATAATTGCTAGTGGCATCAGACCAATCACAGGTACAGAATTTGGACCGCTATCAGTCGGGTGAATACCAGTCACTGAGAACCTCCCTCATGCAACTTAACTACTGCCAGTGGTTCTTTCAGTAAGTGAATCAGCCAGCCGGCAGACAAAAGTAGGTCGTTACAGATCTCAAGTTCCTTGGGACTTGCTCATCTGCCCTCAGGACTGCTGGTGGTGGGAGCTGACCTTGGTATGTACTCTGGGCCTTCCCAAGCACACACAACCCAAGCAGAGGCATGAATAAAATGTGAATTCCTTTAAGCTCCAAACACAATTCCAGGGCCAGTAACAAGCAGTATCTGACACTGGCCTGTACCACAGTCCCTATTAAGCGGCCCCAGAACCAATACACTTAGTGGCCAGCTCCAAACAACATCAGAGCAGAATCCAATTACTTTAACAAGTGGCATATCCAAAAGGGGATCTTAGTAGACACTATACCCTACTGAGCTGAACTCTGAATCCTGTAATCAGCACATACACAGCAGCTTGTACTCTGTGGTTAAAGTCAATCCTCACAATGACCCAGGCTCAAGGTCAACCCCACGCATGAACAAGCCAAAAGCAATTAAGAATTAATTATAAAAAAGAGATCACATAATCCATACAAGAGTCATTCCTGGAATAACGGGCTAAAGAGATCAGAGAGACTATGCCACTGAGTCCCACAGGACAAATACTACATAAGGCCACCCTACCAAGACAAGGAGTCACCACAGATCTACCTAATACTTACAAATAAACACAAAGAGGTAGCCACAATGGAGAGATAAAAAAAAAATTCACCAAATGAAAGAAAAGAAATCTCTGGTAAAAAAGCTAAAAGAAATGGAGGCAAGCAAATTATCAGGAATAGAGTTGAAAAAAGACTGCTCAAGGAATGTAGTGAGAACTACAACAGCATTAAAAAAGATATGAAAATCATAAAAAACCAGTAAGAAATAAAGAATACAATATGTGAAATGAAGATACACTAGAAGAAAGGAACATCAGATTGGATAAAGCAGAGGATCAAATCAGCAACTTGGAAGACAGGAGAAAACACACAATCACAGAAAAAAGAAAAAAAAAACTTTACAAAATCAGGACAGCTTAAGGAACTGTTAGGACAAAATGACATGTATCAACATCTGCACCATAGGGGTACTGGAAAAAGAAGAGAGAGAACAGGGGATCAAGAACCTATTTGAAGAAATAATTATCGAAACTTCCCTAACCTGATCGAGGAAAAAAGTGCCGAGAAGTGCCAAGAGTCCCAAACAAAATGAAACCAAAGAGACCCATACCAAGACACAACATAATTTAAATGTCAAAGGTTAAAGATAAAGAAAGAAACTTAAAAGCAGTGAGAAAAACGACTTGCCTATAAGGAAGCTCTCATAATTCTGTCAGCTGATTTCTCAACAAAAACATTTCAGGTCAGAATGGATTGACATGAAATATCCAAAATGATATAAAACAAAAACTGCCCGGGAGGGTGTGGTTCAGTTGGTTGGAGTGTTATCCCATGTCCCACAAACTAAAATGTTACAGATTTGATTCTCCGTCAGGGCACATACCCAGATTGTGGGTTTGATCTCTGGTCAGGGTACATGCAAGAAGACAATCAATCAATGTTACTCTCATGCACCACCAATGTCTCCCTGTCCCTCTCTCACCCTTCTTCTCTTCTTCCTGCCTTTCTCTGAAAGCAATGAAAAAATGTCCTTGGGTGAGGATTAAAAAAAGTTTTCCTAAAGCAAAAACCTACATTCAACACTAATTTACCCAGCAAAGATATCACTTAAAATTGAAATAGAATATTCACCTCAGTGGTATATATCCTGAATTTGGAATGATACAGAAGATTACCAGACTACTATGCAATGACTCTCAAATTCACAAAGTGTTCTATATTATCTATATATATGTGACACCTTACAAATATATAAATATATAAGTATATATTATATATATTTAAGTATATTTTATTGATTATGCTGTTACAGTTGTCCCTATTTTTTTCCCTTTGCCCTCGTCCACCCTGTACCATCCCTTCCTTCCAGCAATACCCTCCCCCACTTAGTTCATATCCATGGGTCATGCGTTTAAGTGCTTAGCCTTCTCCCTTTCCTATACTATTCTTAATATCCCCCTGCCTATTTTGTTCCTACCAATTATGCTTCTTCACCCCTGCACCATTTTCCCTTTCTTCCTCTTCCCACTAACAGCTGTTAACACTCCAAATAATCCCCATTTGGGGGTTCATTGTTTTGTTCTAACTTAATAAAACACAAAGAGATGATGGAATACACAGGGCTGGGTCATGTCCCCCAATCTAATAGACCCCATGATCCTAACACACTGTGATGAATCCTCCATGGCCTGGCCTTTGTATTCCCCTCACACTTACTAGCCAAGTTTTTATCCATGAGTCTTTGCTCTCTCACATATCTCTGTACTTCCAAGTGTTTCCCTGGTCAATATCACTACCCAAACTCATAAAAGTAATCTGAATAGTCTATATTTATTTCTATTTCCCTCTTTAGACTATATGTTACTTGAAAATAGAGTCATTTACTTGTGTTAATTGTTTAAGACTTCACCTGAAATACTGATGGTCAATAAAAGTTGATAAAGCCAAACAGGCAATATCCATTAAGAAAAACAGTCACATAAGCTGGTTATAAATGAAACTGAATGCTCAACTTGGATGAGCAATTCCATAAATCATCTCCAGAACTTCAGGAAGTCCCAAATTGCTTATAGAAATTAAAATTCTATTCTTTCAATTTTCCTTCCCAAGCAAACAAGTAAGCATTTTTAAATTAATATTTTAGATATTTAGATTGTTAAAGGCAGAAAAACATTAAAAAGTATTTAAAAACATGTAATTTAACCTTAAAAGCTGCTTCTTTGCTGAATTTTCAGGAGTCCTCAGAAACTTTGTCTGTTTCTGTGGTGTATACAAAATGTTATCTGTAGATTTCACCATTGGGTTTACCAGTGTTTCCTTAACTTGTCTTCCAACTGATCCAAAATCCATGTAGTATTTGTGAGATGACTCTGAATCAGTGACCAAGATATTCTCCAAATCATCTTTGTTTTCACTATCTGATGAATACTCCAAAATTTCTGTAGAACTTGTCTGAAAGAAATTAAGAGAAATGCAACTGAATTTGAAGCACTCTTTATTCAAGTCCATATTTATATATGCCTATTATTCTATTCCCTTATAATTACTGTCATTAAATAACTTTGTATATATAGTGTGGGAGAACTCTGTCCCACAGAGCTCTCCCAGTTGCCACAGATGAGAAATAAGTCATCCTGGACACAATCTTATTGTTCCAGTGGGGAAGTGGGTGGTGATTCTCTCTACTGAGGAATGCCCTGAACCCTTCTCCCAAATGGCTTTATTGGGAATGGTATGTGTACATGTATACATGCATAGCTCATCAATTAATGTCAAAAGGCTATAGTCTTACAAAAACAGGTATTATCTATAGATAACAACTGAAGGAACATAGAGATCTGTCATAGGTCAGGGTCTGTGAGACATGCTGATACCAGATGGTCTTTAAGATGTGTTTCATGAGATAAGGAGTTTACTCCTTATGCCTTGAACTTAAACATCTGGTTTGAAGGATACAATGTATTTATCAGGCCTGATTTCTCATGGGAACCCTTGGTGTTAGCATCCGATCATGCCTGCCACCTACATTACCTGGTTTTCCAGGGAGACTTACTAGCGCCGTTTGGAGCCTGCTCTTGTGGGGCTACTAGAGTCTCCAAAACCACAGAGCAGTTCCCAACAATACAGTCATTTAAACTTTGTACGTAAACGTTGAACATCTAGCTTAAATTTCTATTTTGACACAAAATCCAAAGAATCAAGCCATATTACCAGAGACAAAATGAGATTAAATAAATTGTAAGCTAGATATTATCTTACAGAATCCACAAAATTTAGTACCATGATTCAATTTTCCTTCAGTAAAATAAATGTGCTATTTAGTCAAGTTTTGAAAAGTGAGCTAATAACACAAACCTGAATAACTGATGATAGCTACTATAATCTAACACCTATCAGGAAAAAATATTTTTTGGATTTTGAAATTTAATCTGAGGTAAATAATATTCACTATTTTTAATAAACCAAAAAAATCACCTCTTTAGGTGTACACCACTTAACATATCAAGAGTGCCCAAAGATAAAGGTCAAAACTATACTTTCCAGCACAAGTTCAATATAATATTTTCCAGAGACTATTGCTATTGATATTAGCAATAGTTTCAAATTGCTAATATCATCAGAAACTATAAGAATATAAGTCACTGCCTCTTTTTCCTCACATTTCCTAAAACATTTCTTCTTTCCCCTACTCAAATTGCTTAACTACCAAAATAAGAGTTATTCTGAAAACTAGATTATAAAAAGAAACTCACATCCAGTTACATAGTGTAACTGGAGAGGAGAATCAAAACTTTCTCCTGTGATGTGCCTCATCTTTGCCCAGACACACACTAAAACTATTAACTGCGGAATACATTTTGTTTTCCCATTACTTGGTTTTGCAATTCAGTCCCATGTTGTTCTAATGGCAGCAACAATTTATTCTTCAACATCCTAACTGTCCAGTATATTAGTAGCCCCTTCTAATTTAACACCTGTAAATTTTAAATTTACAAATATAAATTCTGTATTTAGTTAAATGGATCTTCTGTACATGGATAATTCATAATACAGGTATGGTTCCTCAGGAGAAGACCTGTTTTTGATGGCTCAACATGGGCTGTGTCCCTGACACTGAAGAGGCACGTGGCTAAAGACAGGAAAGAGGCAGCCCTGACTGGCATGCCTCAGTCGTGGCTCAGCTGGCTAGGCATCATCTCACACAGCAAAAGGTCACTGGTTTGATTCCCCACACTCAGGTCACATACGTGTGTTGCAGGTTTGGTCCCCAGTCAGGGCACCAAAGAGAGCCAATTGATCAATGTTTCTCTCACACATCAATGTTTCTCTCCCACTCTCCCCTTATTTCTAAAAAATAAATAAAATCTTTTCAAAGGAGAGAGAGAGATGGCTACAGTACATAAGAATTATCATTTGTGGGTACATGTATATGCATGTGCACTGGCATGTGGTGGGTAGTACTAGAATCTTCATTTGCTAATCTACATAAGACAAAAAGGTTTATAACATTTGGCCTTTTTAGAGGATTTTATAGTTACACCCTTTTTAAGAGCTTGAAAAAGATGTCACCCATTCTCACATTTCCAAAAAAATTGCTTGGGTAGTCACTTGTTACTGGGCACATTTAAAATAAGAAAAAGTAAGTGGAAAAATTCAAATTCAGAGTTTAATTCCTTTATCCTTTTGACCATCTCAGTTGCATGCCTAAATTACTGTAGGCAGCTGCTAACCCATTAACAAGCAATGGGGTCACATGTTTTCCTCATGTGACACCGACCACAGCTGAATAGGCCATAAAAAACCAAAATAGTTTAGTTTGAAATTGAGTTCCTTGACAATGAAAACTTTCACACTTCACTCTAGAACTCCAAATTTAAATTCACCTTTTTGTTCTGAAATGTCTTTTCATTTAGTTCCCTAAAGCTTTGGATTTCATCCTAGAATAGGGTTTCTCAGGCTCAGCACTGTTGCCATTTTGGGCTAGATAATGTAATGGGCAATTGTGCACTGTCAGGTTGTTCAGCAGCATCTCTGGCCTCTACTCACCAACAATGACTATCAAAAATGTCTCTACATATGGCCAAATGACCCCTGGGGGATGAAATCACGCCCAGTTGAAATCCACTGTTGCAAAAAAATGCCAACACCCAACCTCATATCACCTGTGCTAAGGATTCACATGCAGAAATGAAGGTGACACAGCACTTTGTCAGAATGAGGAGGTCAGAAAAAAATAGTTCTAAAACGTGATAGAAATACTATAATTGAAATATTTCTCAGGTTCAACAGGGAGGACATACAAGAAAAAACAATGCCAGGTGGGACAAAGGAGAAGGAGAAAAGGAAAAAAGGTGCCACTTTAATCCCATCTGCACCTAAAGCTGAATGCGTAGTATAACTTAATTAGGCAGAAAGGAGAGAGTACATTCCAGGGAAAAGGAATTGGAGGACCACGAATATGAAGCTAGAAAGAACTAAACACATGCAGAAAAATCTAGAAACAGCAGCAAAAGAGAAGGCTGCGGAAGGGCCTTGCAGAACACAGCAGGGCATGACTTTATTCTGAGGCAGTAGGGTAGCCAATGGCATTTGTAACAGGGGTAACAAAAAACAGAGGTTAATATGAGATGATCATCCAAACAATATTCTAAATAGACTTCACTATGGGAGAGAGAAGGTACTCAAGCTTTCAAGTAGGGAAAGCAAATAACTCTAAGGCTCTTCCAAAAATAAAGATGATGTAAGTGGTAGGAGGAATAAAGAGGTGGACATGAAAGAAAATGAGGAAAGATATATAACACCTGGGGATTCTCAAGATATTAGAAATGAAAGTGAAGGCAGAGTCAGTGAAAACCCCAAGGATCTGGTTTGGGCAACAAGTACAGAAAGATGCATTTACCCCTGCCCCTCCCCCCCCAAAATCGAGCAAATATACCAGAGTGGAGTACTAGCTAGTCTTAAATTTGGTTTTTGTATTTTAAGGTAGTGATGCCTTTAGAATAGTTGAGGTAAAATTGGCCAACAGGCAGCAGATCTATGAGTCTGAATTTTAAGAAAGTGATGTATGATGAAAATATAACCTCAGGAATCAAAAAAACAGTAATAGTGCATGAACTTATGAGCAGAGGAGAAAGCTCTCCTTGGAAATCATGTAAAAGTAAAAAGAGAAAGTCCAGGTTGGAATCTTAAGAATACCATTAACGTTTAAGCAGCGTTAACTTGAGAAGAGAAAGTATTTTGAATTTGAAAAAAAAACGTTGCATGGATATAAGAAATCCACTGAAAATAGTATGAAAAATAAATGGCTCAAAATGTTAAAACTCTGGAATATAATTTGGAAGTTTCTTACAAAACGAAACATACTCCTACCATATAATTCAGCAATCACATCCCTTGGCATTTACCCAAACGAGTTGAAAAATTATAGCCACATAAACATCAGATGTTTATAACTTTATTCATAATTGCAAAAACTTGGCGACAGGTTTGTTCTCTGTAGGTGAATGGATAAACTGTGGTACAAACATACAATAGAATATTACTCAAAACTAAAAAAAAAGAAAACTACCAAGCCATGAACAAAACACGGAGGAACACTGAATGCACATTACCAGTGAATGAAGCCAATCCAAAAAGGATACATAGTGTCTGATTCCAACTATGTGACATCCTGGAAAAGGCAAAACTATGGAGACAGTTAAATATTCAGTGGTTGTCAGGGGTGGTGATAGGGAAGGTAGGATGAATACTTGGAGGACTTTTAGGACAGTCAAAATACCATGTATGATATTATAATAATGGGCATATGTTATTATATATGTGTCCATACCTAAAGAATGTATAACATCAAGAATAAACCTTAAAGTAAACTATACACCTTGGATGATTATGATGTGTCAATATAAGGTTAGCCTTGGTAAAAAAAAAAAATCCTGGTGACTGATGTTCATAAAGCAAGAACCTATGTGTGTGGTAGGGGGCTATGGTAGGGGTCGATGGCAAATTCCTACTTTCCTCTTAATGTTATTAAAACCTAAAACTGATCTAAAAATAATAAGTCTTTAAGAAAAAGGAAAAAATGGAAGGTGAAGAGAAAAAAGGAGACAAAATTCTTTTAAGAAGCTTGGATATACAAATTTTCTTTTGAAGATAGAAAGGACAGCATAAAAAGACACATTTGCTTGGCTATACCTAACTGTCAAAGTTAGTGAATGGTATACAAACCTGAAGTTAAAATCATTAAAACGTAAGTGTACTCCAGACACTAGTATATCCTCCAACCTCAACAATAAATTTCTTCAGTGGAAAATTTAATAGCACTAAGATTGGTAAGACTATAAAAGTTTAGGTAGTACTTTGCAATTTCCTACCCTCAATCCATGACAATAAATTTTAGGTATTGTTGGGTTAGGCAGTCACTTCTTCAATGGACACTAACGTATATGAACCTA